TACGGTAATATATTAAAGTATAATTCTGTAGCTATATTTTGTAGCTGTGCATTCTTTATTTTAATTTCATTAGATTCCATTTTTTAAACATTTTTTATTTACACGATGGCATGCCAGTTATACTATGTAAATTACACCCACAATGGCATACACACAAACTCAAATAGCTGCATGATACTGTTGAAGGCAGAGTTGTCTTAACGCATGGTTACCTTGGGCACTTGCTAGGGGGCCCAACAAGCATAGGGGAAGAGCCTTCGAGCCAATTATAAAGCAAGTCTCTGCAAAGAAATTTCACAAATGCTTGTGTTTAATAAAATAATTCAGAGTATGTTTGTACTGTGCAATATCCGTCTGTATTATTTACCAACTGAATACCATTGAATTTCTTGTTTTTCAACTTCAAGGTTCATGTTATATTGTACAAATGTTTGTGTGGATTAATTTCTGCTGTACAGCAGGTTTTTTAATGTTTAAACACTGATTTTGTTGGAGGTATCAATAAATATAAGCTTAATTTTATCAATAATTTACATTTTTATTCCTGTGAGTGGTTGTGTAGGCTGGGCCCAAGTGCACAGGTTTGCTCGGGGGCCTATAATGCTCTCAAGATGGCCCTGGTTAAAGGGAAACTAAAGTTCCCCTCTCCCTTGTGCCACCCACCCACCTCCCAGTGCAGAAGGGGTTAGAATTCCCCTTTGTCATTTACCTCAGTTCAGCAATGTCCTTCGGCGCTTGCACGGGTTCGCCATCGCCGGCTGATGTAGGTGGAGGAAATGCTTTCCTATGGGGATTCGGGTGATGCTGTCAGTCCTCATGCATAGCATGTCCAAAGGCCGCCTATCAGCACGGAAGTCCCTAAATTGGCTGCCTGGCAGACAGTCACTAGATGTGGAGTCAATCCTGAAAGGTAATTATTCTAGTTTCTTAAAAACTGTGACAGTGCACCCAGACAATGTCAATGAGCTGAAGTGGTCTGGGTGCCTACAGTGTCCCTTTAAAGGCCTAATTGTGCATGAGCGGCATTTCTGTACAGAATTAACTTTATGTTCTTCTGCAGCACTATTTACCACAGTTTAAATACTTATATGCACATAATGTTTATGGTGGTGAGGAAACTGTCACTTTCAGGGAAGTGACAGCTCCACTTTAAGATGTGTCACTTAAAATGTTCTTTTGAAATTAAAGAATGGATCTTCAGTTATAAACTTAGAAAACTCTCAAAGTGAACCTGTCATGACCTTTGGGATGGTTCACTTGCACTACCAGTCACTCGATGCTCTGCTTAGACATGTGCGTGACTAGCATACAGGACCAATCCTGCCAATTTATTGACAGGTGTGGGAGGGACCAAAGTTTAAAGGGCATACAAATATATATGTGCTAGCATTTATATTTTATCTAACATGTAATATCATTTGATTGAAGCCCAAGTTTTCTGTATCAGAATAGGTAAAAACTCACAGAGGTTAGTTTGTAAATCAGTTAGTTCCTTAGATATTTTTTTTGCAAATAGGTTTGAAGTTCAGATTACTTAGTTACTGATTACAGTTACTTATATTTTCAATAAAGATTAAACAGCTCATTGATGGCCAATAGAGGTGACGGTACCTAACCACACTATATCTACACAGTGTTGGATATTCTTTTGTGCATTTGACACATTTTCCAAAGAGAACTATCCACATTGTTACAAAGTTTTGTATCTAGTAAGGTCAAAAAAATATGTTTTTATAAAGATCAACCAATGGGATGCAAAAATGGTACACTTTATATACATGTATTTTTTAGAACTTTGTCCTGGGCCTTTGTACTTTGTACCCCACGCATTGAAGGTAAAATGTCTACAAGCCACAGGAGTTTGGTAGAAATCAATCAGTGATCAGCATGTATATAGTCAGGTCAACATAGAAAAGTGATGCGGGAAACACAGAACCATGAATAATAAATAAATACTCAATAATGATCACTATTATGCATCGTCTGTAGAGGTTTCTCTTTCGTTGACAGCATTACCAGTGAAAGCATCAACTGTTTAACTCTTCTCATACAAAAAGTAAAAATAATTATTTTATTGAAACAGAATATGAATTTAAGTTAAAGAGATCTGTTCACTAAGCAAAGTTGTTTCAATAACAGAAGAAAATTCCCAAATTTAGACTAATATAGTTGAAATTAAAAAATACATTCCATTTTATCCTAGAAAGACAATTTAATTCTGAAGAAATATGAATATCATAACAATTAAAGTGTTATGCTTCTATTCTGCAGAGTAATTATTAATAATTTATGTATTTAATTGACTGTCCGCTTAAAGGAACACTCCAGGCACCATAACAACTTCATCAGAATGCATATCTTTTAGTGCAAGGGGGTGCTGCTGGCTTACATTTAGGGGTTAAAAAGTTCACTAAATCTTGAAACCAGCTCTGTTTAGCTCTGCCCCTGTCCTCAGGCTTTTCACTGTTTCTTGAAGCAGGAAGCATCTGATAACCTCGGACAACTGATACTCTAAGCCAATCACTAACTCCACATTCATAAAAACAGCTCAACAAAAATATGTAGATTTTTCAAGCCATTTTATGAATGAAGAATTGTTGATTGGCTTAGAGCATCAGCTGAAGCTCTCAACCAATCAGCGACCTTGTCCTGGGCTTCCCGTTTCAAGAAGAAGAGAGATGTGGAAGAGCAGGGGCAGAGCTAAACGGCACTGGATTGAAGAATTTGGTGTTAAACAATTCGTGATAGGTATTTTGGCACCAGGGACCTCCTGACACCATAACAACTTTATTCCGTTGAGGTTTTTAAGGTGTCCGCAGTGTTCCTTTAGCAAAGTTGATTCCCTTTGTATTGCACATCAGGCTACATATATGTTTTCAACAAATAGCATCCACTGATAACACCTAAAGAAAACATGTCATTATACTATGTCATTTTATTTCTTAAAGTGTCATCTCCAACAGCACTTGGTTCCACATAGCACGGTATGAAAATGTCAAGCACATCTTTTTTCATTCATAAAAGCATTTACTATCCAATACGGAGTGATCTTTCTGACCCTTAGCGTAACAAGACAACATATTGGTCCAAAAATAACTTGGCTTTCCTTTCCTACCTGTATTGTTCTCTGACAACCACAAATAATAAACTAAGCAAACATCATACATATGTAGCAATTCTTAGTCCGCCACCATTCCTACAGTCGATAAATACTATCTGTATAGCGTACAATTTATCTGGGTAGAAGACTGTGGATAGATACAATTAACATAGCCAGTAGATCTGAACACTAATGGGGTCTATTCACTAAACAGTACATTGCGTTGACTTCAGAACTATCTTGTAAGATTTAGGGTAAAACAGGCATATTAGAAACAAAAGTTTAGTGTTTAGTGACCAGATCATGAAACATCACATAATGATCATTCGCAATAAGATTTAAATATACATGGTGTATATACCACTTGGATACATCTTTTAAATATTTCGAGTTAATACATTTTCTTGAATAAAAATGATTATGTAACACGGTGAGGTACCCGATGGATGAACAACGACTGTCAGTTTTACTGCAACCAAAGGTTAAAATAGAGTTTAATACATTAAGTGGACATCTCTGCGTGCAAGACTGTAAAGTGATAACTTTCAAACCTAACAACCAATTTCCAGGTCTAATGTTTTATTGTGCCCATAACACCTTTACCCTGCCAGTGCAGGCTAAGTATCTTTTGGAGGTTAGCCAGGGGTGTAGGTAGAAGATTTGCAGTGCCCTAATGTAACAAAGGAAATGTAGGAAGGATGGGTTGAATAACTGCTGCTGGGATGTTGATATAAATTATTTAAACTTCTTTTTAATGTGGAAGCTGCTCTTTGACATCATATCACACAACTGGTAAGGTAACAGCAGCACCAACAGTGATTAAAAAGCAATTGCTTAGAAGAAGATTTGCAACATAAAGAAATGGGATTTTTCTAAATAAACAGAATCTCAGAGCAGAGACTTTTGTTTGTAGACATTCTCAGCATTCTATGTAAATACACAGCAGAACTTTATCATCAGACACAATCTACCCTCCCAATATCAGTATTAAGTTATGTCATATTTCACCCATAACTTGGGCTGACTGTGATACTAACATTCCAAAGCATTCTTTATCTCTCTATAAGCAATTCTTTTAATAAGGCCATATCAATTTACCTTTATAATCACATCACTGCTAGAATATTAATCTTGCTTTTGGCATTAAAAATTCGCAGTCCATATCTTTGCAATGACAGTATATTTAGTTCAAGTCCTCTAGCTCTGCCGCAGGGATAGACAATCCACAACACTCCAGAGGTTTATTTAACACCTACACCTCCCATCACACTCTGCCAGCCTGCTTTCTCTATAGACTGTACGTGCATGCCAACATCTATTGCCCTGGTATTGCCCTGGGGCTGCAATTAGGCTGGCCTCTATTGATAGGACTTGCAGATCAACAGCTGTTGGTGTACCTTCTATTTTGCTGATCTGCAACTATGCCTGGCTGAGCATCATATGTGTTGTAGTTCCGTAAACCCTAGGTCTAAATTGTCTATGATCTGTGAATACACTAACATAAATCAATATGTACCTAGCCTCTTACTGATACTGACAGACGCCCTGCACATATCCTGCATGTCAACACACGTATACCTACAGCCCAGTAACACACACACTGTTTACCATCACAGAAGCAATCACATGCAAACAGTACAACATAACAATGTTTCCAGAATACACTAAGCATCTGCACAGCTGTCAATGTCCCCAGTGACCAGGATATTGGCAGCTTCAATATACAAAGTTTATTGCCAACTGGTAGCTGTGATAGTTACTTGCTAACAGAAACCAATAAAAAAAAGTTTGTCACTTACCACCTTTCCAGTGCTTGCCTTTTGTCCTGCTAATCTTGCTGAGAGTCACACCATTTAGAAACAGCATGAAGAAAACAGCAAGTTCAGGAGTAAACAGTCTCCCCTGCTTCATTATAGGTAACATTTCCAAATGCTCCTCTCACACCATCTCCAGGTCTTGTCTCACTCCATATTCTCTCTGTTTTTTTTTTCTTGCTTAGAAAGCAATCATTAATCACTGGGAAATCACAGCACACATTTACTTTGGCATCTTTGGGTGTTGAAGTATAAGCCTATGGATGTAGCCCTCAGGAAATGCACACAATTCCTCACTGCTCCAGCTTTTATCATCAGCACACACAGCAGACAGTTTCAGCTTTGCCTGCCTGCTGCTGTTATGACTAAAGAAAATATGATCATTTCTTCTCCCCAGTTTGCTGAGATCCAGGATATGTCCTTTTGTTTTCACACTCAGATTGATTGACAAATATAAAAACAGTAATGATTGTATCCAGCACAGGAAGAAAAAAAACAGAAAAATGCAAGGCTTCTGGGAGAGGAGGAAAAAAAAGAGAGGGATAAGAGGCAAATGTACTGACAGCTATAAGCTTGGCTGTCTGATTCTAATAACCCTGCAACTGACTAAATTGCTCTTTTAAGAGTAATAAGGCTTCAGTAAAAGCTGGTGTCAGAGCCACTTGGGTAGAAAGTGCAGGGTTTGGATAAACACCTAGGACCCTGCATGATTTCTACACAGCAAACTGAGTCCAGAATCCAAATGCAGAGCTCTGAGCAGAGAGTGTGCACAGAGAGTACATTATTCCATATCCATTGTGTGCAGGGGGTTGCTTGTTGGATGTTGTAGCACATAAATGTACTGCTTCCTTCATCAGTCTTTGTATTAGGGATGTGTGTTATTTTGTGTTATAAAAATAGAGTTTATGTATCTGACTGTGCAGTAATTATTTATGGCACTCTTTTAAATATTTATTATTCAGATGAAAAACTACAAGCTTGTTCTATTTTATATCCGATGAACGGGATGAGATAAGAAGGCATTGGAGCTACGATATTTACTGCGTCTTAGCGGAGCATTTTATGAATGATCTATATGTATGTATGTATGTGGATAGATAGATAGATAGACAGACAGAGAAGAGATAGATAGATAGATAGACAGACAGACAGAACGACGATGAATGGGCGGTCGGACGGACAGGTAGAAAAAGTTGATTGTTTCAATGTGTTCTTCCAATTTCCTCTTGATTTCGTTCATTGGGGATTGTTTCATTTTTGTTTAGAATTTTGTGATAGAAATTTGTGTCTTTGAAGAAACTTAGACCACTAACACAAACATGGAGCAAATATCTTTACCCTATTTTATGCATTTTCCAAAAGTTTTTTGTGAAGTGTGATATGATAAAGATTTGGCCCTGCATAATTTATACGGCTAGGTATATGGTGGCATAGTATGTTTGTGTGCAATTCATTTAGGTAATCATTAGTCATAAGGTACTGTTTTGAAAAGCAGCTTTGAATGTAATGACACATTCTAATAGATAATTAAAGTTATGTAATTGTTGTACTTTTGTTTAAAAAACCAACACCAAACGAACAAAAAAAAAAAACTTCCTTGATTAACTGCTCCATGGATGATCTCACACTTTATAAACCATGGGAAGACAATATCCATGTGGCCTTTCCAGATCAAAGAGAAAAGGTTTAATTAGAGCCTTGAATCCTTAAGGTGTGCGGTTCCTGAAGATGAGACTTAGCTGTTCCTAGAGGATCTTAAACAGGGCTGGATTTGCCATGGCCTCCGGGTGGCACACACTGGCCAGCCCATTCTTCTTCTGTGCTGAAGATTTCCCCAGGCTGGCTACTGCAGGGCCGGCACTGAATAGAGAGAGGGTGGCTCTACCTCACCTGCATTATATCAGAACGGCCATGCTCCGATACATATCCCGGCACCCCACTAGGGGTGCAGACATGTTGCACCCCACTGGACCACCGGGGAGCTGGATTCCCCCCTTCCTGGCCCAAGGAAAACCTAAGGAAGGGGGGAGTGCACTATTATACAGCACCTATCAACCCACCACAGCCCCTATCACCTCACTAGAGCCCCTGACACTCCACCACAGCCCCTGTTACCCCACCACTGCCCCTGTCACCCCTCTACATCCCCTGTCATCCCAGTAACCCCTATCATCCCACCACAGTCCCTGCTATCCCACTCAACACCTGTCATCCCACTACAGTCCCAAATGCAATACATCAAGCAGGCCCCCCCCAGACATGCAATCCCACAAGCAGCATTCCCACAAACCTACAACACCACAAGCAGCTCCCACATAAGTGTACACTCAGCTCTGTCCCACTTATCATCCACTCACACACCAAGTTATATTCACCAATTAATCACCGATCACTCTCTAAGCTCTGTCCACTTATCATCCACCCACCCACCTACGCAGTTACATTCACTAATCAATCAAACTAGTCATATGAATTAATCAGAGGAAAAACTAAACTACAGAGGGCCTTGGTGTGAGAATTTATTTGGGGGACCCCCTATCGCAAGGATAGAAAGAAGGTAGGTCCCCATTTGTTGCACAACTTCCACAAAGTTTTGCCAGTTGGGGATCTACTATTTGCCCATCCTTGCAGGGTTGTATTTAACAATGAGCAGTGCTTGTAAGTTTGAATGCAAGTATGTTATTGAGTATATGTGTGTGAATGTATGGGTGTATTTGTTTGTAGTGTTGTGTTGATCGTTTTTATGTACTGTTGCCATTTGAAAGTAGTGGTTTACTTGTGGGTAGTGTTTGTCTTTGAATGAAGAGGTGTGTTTCTTTGCAGTGTTGATGTTTTAATTTGTGTGTAGTCTTAAAGTGTAAATGCTGAGATGCATGCACATATACATATACACTGTCACATAAGCACACACATATACACAATTCTGAATTCACAGATACACACACACACACACACACACAGATACACTGACAAACATATACACACACTGACACATATAGATACACAGGTAAAGACAAGAAGATACACAGACCCACATTGACACAAATACACATGCTAACACATATGCAGATATACAGTCACACACAATGACACACATGCAGATACTGGCACAGCTACAGATACACAGACACACACTAGAGCACACATTAAAACACAGATACACAGACACATATAGATACACACACACACACAGATACAGATGCACGTATCCAGATATATATGCACACAGTCAGATACGCATACAGACACACATATAAATAGACACACATACACACACACAGGTAGAAACACAGACACACATATAGATACACAGATTCACATGCACACATACCGTCAAAATTTACACATTTTAAGTCACCGTCCTATTCCTATCTTTTGTGTACAGGAGGGTGGCTTCCCTGGAGTCCATACAGCTGACTCAGGTTGTTGGGTGTCAGGCGATCTCCCACTCCACTGCCCCTCCTCTGCAATCCTCCCTTGCAGCTCAGTGTTAACTGGGAGGAAGTAACCATCTGTCACTTCCTGCCACCCTGCTTCCAAGAATACAGGGCCGGTCGCGCGGTTTAACCCCTTAAGGACCAAACTTCTGGAATAAAAGGGAATCATGACATGTCACACATGTCATGTGTACTTAAGGGGTTAAGGGCTGCAGTGCTGACCAGGCCCCTGAGGACACATTTGCCATCAGGTGGCCCTAACTACATGGATCACCTAATGCACACCTTTAGAGTCTGGGCTCCAGTGCAGCCGCATTAACTGTACTGGAGGTTCTTTCACCACTCAAATTCATGCAATCAAATACTCAAATGCACATACATGGAGCAGGAGTGAAGGAGGGTAAATCCAGATGTGATCTAACACCCAATTTTGGCATGTGACACCGTGCATAATTTATGGTGCATGAATGCAGCTGTGCTTTTTTTTATATGTAAATATATCTGTTAAAAGCAAATGTAACATAGATAACAATCTTATCATAGATTGTTAGCCATTCAGATCATTTTAGAGTGTCTTTTTGTATGGCATTTGTGAACATGCAATATTTCAAAATTTAAAAGTCACCATGTTGCAGCAGTGATGATTAAAGCTTTTGCAGCCAAAACATTGTAAACATTTTTCTCTACCTCAGAGCCCTCAGTAGCTTTAATAAAACGGATTAATACTACACTATACCATGTGAAGCCTGCTCTCCATATTTCTGTTTGGTTGGCGCAGCAGTCATAACACAAGCTGCATTTGTACGAAGTAGCCCACACTGTAGACATGCTAAGCAAGTGTAAATTATCTCAACTTTTTTTGCATCGTTTTGTAATTTCAGAAATTCATTAAAAGTCAGACCGTCTATACATTATAATTTTTTTTTTTTTTTTTTAAGAAACACACTAGTACTTTATGTGTGAAGAGTGTGTGTAGTTCATTTTATAAAAAGTGCAGATTTCAATAGAAACTTCTCATTGAGCTGCATTTGGGAGTCTGTTATTGGACAGTCACAGAATGTCTAGGCAGGTGTGTAAAGGGGAGATCTTGCAAAGACTTCAGACAAGAGATCTTTTTTTGCACGCTATTTTTAGGTATACCCCAAATGAGAAAAAAAACGCATATTTTAATGTGCGCATGTGCGCATGTTTACATTGGGGCATATCTACTAAACCATGATTTCTGTGTGTGTTTGGGCAGTGGGGTGTCACTTTAAATAACACCATCAAAGAGGAAATATCACTCACTGCATGAGATATACATGAAACTATTTTTGTAACAATGGCTTCTAAGACCATAGAATACCTACATCACAAGGATGCTAGTCATTCTCATTGAAGGGTCCACCATTCAGTGATGATCATTATGAAAGGAGGGATGCAGGGAGAAACTTTACAAAATGACCATGTGAAGCTAAAACATCTAGATCTAAATATGGTTCACTGACTGTCCGACAGTTGCAGGTAGGTTGTATCCATTTTCACTATTATTCACTAAAATGTGAATTGTCGAGAATTCAATGTTTATTGAAATTTATTTTCACTTTTATTTTTTTCAAAATAGCCAAATTGAAAATATTTTCATTTCAGATATTTTGCCGTTAAATTTTAGATTCACTTAGAATATTTCTGAATTTACACTATAGTTAAAAAAAAAACCTGTGTGTCAATGCGTACTGCAAGCATTACACAAAATTACATAATTACAAAGTTGACGGTGCAAAGAGTAATCCTGACCCGACCTATATACACGGTTTGAGCTACATTATTGAACACTGTAGTGTAGTAGGAAGGGGCAGAAAAGGGGTTTACAAATGCACAAAAACCAACTCAAAGGAGCAAAGGAGGCAGCCTTTAGATGCAGGAAGATGCAACACATTTATTTATCTCTATATTGCATAAACCAAACTAAATTTTAAGCATGTGAAAATACAGCTAATTATTTAAATCAAAAGCTATAAAATGCATAAACATTAAATTAGTGACTGGAGATTACATTTAAGTAGAGAAAATAGTCCACGTAGAAGAATAAAGGTATAAATGATGTACAGTACAATCTATGCATTTAAATAGGTCATAAAGGTCCTCTTAAATATCCTGCTGTCATTTTTGGCATGAATGATATATATCTTGAAACAGTGCTCTTAATAAGAGCTCACAACCCTCTAACACAAAGGCAGACAGTACTTCTTATATATTAAT